TTCGAGTAGCAACAAGTGTTTGGACATTTTCATGGTGGATGCAACTTCTATACTTAGTGATTTCCTAAAAAACTTTAAATAGATTTTGAGTTTGGATCTCTTTAATTTTAAATTTTAATATTATATTATATTTTTTAATTAATTTGTATTAGCCCACAGGCCGGCCCTACCTATATTTCTCAAGCCCCACAAATCAGCAGGCTTATTCAGGCCGGGCTAAAAAGCCTTTTTTTTAAATGGGCTCCAAAATTTTTAGCCCAGCCCTATTAAATCCCGGGTTAGGCCAGGCCGGCCCAACAGGCCTAGCCCATATTGACGGCTCTAATTGAAACAAACGAGAATTTGAATATCTAAATAAAATTTTACTTGTTGACAAATTATGACAGAAAAGATGTTAATGATCTCTTATAATCAGTACAAATACAAATTAAATAAAACAAAAACAACCTGGAATTTCTTAAGAGAGGTTTGAGTCCACAGATTTGGTTAAAATTCAGTCCCTCTTGAATGGAAAGCTATTGTCGGTTGTGGGAATAATTGGCATCACCCGCGTGTACAACTGTATAGCCGCTGCTATTAAAAATTACTCTCACAAAATCACTCATCTATAAATTCTTCCCCTCTCCACAATTTTCTCTTAATTACAAATCTTGAAGAAGAAAAAAATCTTGTCTTTCTCTATCAAGTCCAAACCCAGATCTACGGTAAAGCTCCAGGTTTTCACATTTCTCTAGTTCATTCAAATGAAGAAAAAAATCATTTTTTTGCTTACCCTTTTGATTTTCTTGGTTTTACAGGTTGAAATCTTGGATTATAATAATGTCGACAGATGTGCATTCTAATTCAAAAGCATTCAAGATTTTCATAGGTTATGATCCTCATGAAGATGTTGCTTATGAGGTCTGTCGTTATTCCCTTCTCAAAAGATCTTCAATCCCACTTGAAATCATACCCATTAAACAATCAGAGTTAAGGGAAAAAGGGTTGTACTGGCGTGAAAGGGGGAAATTAGAAAGCACTGAGTTTTCATTTTCTCGTTTTTTGACACCCCATTTGGCTAATTTTGAAGGGTGGGCTATGTTTGTTGATTGTGATTTCTTGTATTTAGGGGATATTAAGGAATTGAGGGATATGGTTGATGATAAATATGCTTTAATGTGTGTACAACATAATTATGCTCCAAAAGAGACTACCAAAATGGATGGGGCAGTGCAAACTGTGTATCCTAGGAAGAATTGGTCATCAATGGTTCTTTATAATTGTGGGCATCCAAAGAATAAGGTGTTGACACCTGAGATTGTGAATACTGAATCTGGGGCATTTCTTCATAGGTTTACTTGGTTGGAAGATGAGGAGATTGGGGAAGTTCCGTTCGTTTGGAACTTCCTCGTCGGGCATAATAAGGTTGTTGAAGGGGATCCTGCTACATTTCCTAAGTCGATTCATTATACGCTTGGTGGACCTTGGTTTGAGGCTTGGAAGGATTGTGAATTTGGGGATTTGTGGATAAAGGAACTCGAGGAGTACAAGAAGGCGGCAGAGAAGAAGGTGGATTAAGGCAATGTAGGTTATTGGTATTGTTTGATTCACACAGTTTTTAGTTAAGGTAATTCATTCGTTATGTGTTTTCCTTGATTTAGTCTTCCATATTGTTTCAATTGTGAGATGTAATCGGTTCATTCCAAATCAAGTACTTTGTATTCTAGTTTTACTGCCTTTAGTTAGTAAGCAGTTTTTCAGTCATATCTTTTGTATTGTAATCATAATAGATTCATGAAGGAAAGAATAAGATCATCTTGATCTTTGAATGATTTGTTGAGTATGCTTTTGGTTACTTGATGTTACTGACTTTTACTTTGTAAGCTGTTTTTCAATCATATCTTATATTGTGTTACAGATTCATAATGTTTTCTGGTTACTTTGGAAACAGCCTCTCTACCTCCATGAGGTTGGAGTAAGGTTTGTGTACAGACTCCACCTGTGGGGATTACACTGGTTATGTTCTTTATTCTGGTTACTTAATGGTACAAATGAAATAGTTTTTGGCCCTCCCTTCATGGAGAGAGGAGGTTTTGTTGCTTTTGATATTTGTCCTTGTGAAGATTCTTCTTAGACAACATTTGTATGTACACTTATTCCTTTGCTTGGTAAAGCTGAAGCACCATGTACTCTTATTCTAACATGGTCAAGTGTTGAGATGTCGAATACACATGCATTCACAATCTGGAAATTATAAAGCAGTATTGTTGTTGGATCAGAAAGGCTTTTTGACAACAAGAATGACTTGTTTCTCATAATATTGTGGTTAAGAAAATCGAGTATAAAAATTATACAGCAATTGTGATATCCAGTTGCAACATCGTATTGAATAAAACTATGAGCTCACAAGTTGCCACTACTACATTGCATTTGATAAACTTACAGACACAAGTAGGTGCTACAAAGTTGAGCGCATACACTGTCACATAATTTCAATTGACACTTACACGATAGCTAAAGAGTAAACCAATTGAAAGAAAATAACAATCCAATTGGCCGATGAACAATGAGGTATAAACCTCAGGTGATTTGTCATTTTACATAAGTTGATCAGTCCAGTGCTGATCAAAAGATTGAATAGTACACAAGTAAGAAGAAATACCAGAATAACCGACACCACCAAATATGGACAAACGTAAGGAAACTGAGTGAACTGCTCACCATCAAACTACCCTAAGCTGATCCAAATTCTGCAAACCATTTCTCATGTTTTTCAATGTCAGCTGCTGAGACACTAGGTTGAACTTTGGAAATAGCTTCTACAAAGTCACACATTGCAACAGGATCCTTAGCAATGTCATCCTTGGCCATGTTCTTAATCTCCTCACGTGTCTTCCCAGCTATCTTTCGCCTCATGCCATTCATAGAAGCATCTCGGCAAACATTTGTGAGGTCGTCTCCACTATATCCCTCTGTTTTGCGAGCTACTTCATCAATGTCCACATCTGCAGCTACCTGATGTCACAGGCAGACATTTGCACTTCGTTAAAAGAAAGATTCATTCAACTAAATAGATGAACAAGGTAGAATTTTTTCAAACTTCAGAAACACATTCTCATGAAAATCCATTTACAAGATAGAATCCAATTAAAAAGACCCAGTTGCACAAATCGAGAAGTACAACGTTATGATGTTGATGCCTTTCA